AGAAATTTCTTCCCACAATAAAGTATCCTTGGAGCCGGGTCCTCCCTGGTCCATGCCCCCACTCACCCACCCAGAGCCCTTGCTCTCAGCCTTCGTGTCTCTCTGTGCCACTGCCGTGGGCTGGCTGCTGCTCTTGCTCAGGTCTCTTTCCTTTACATCATGGATTCTTCCAACACAGGGGCTCAGTGTCTTTATAACTTCAGTTAGTATAGCACCATCCATGATCTCAATGGCTTTGTGGCTTTTCAAAATCTTTCTCTCAGCTACATAAATCATTGATATTCTTAGTGCAAATGGTTCTTACAAGGATATGACTGGATTAGCTTCTCCTTAGATTTCTTTTATTTATCTCTGTTTTCTAAGAAACTACTATATAGAGTAAAATACACACATATGTGTGTGTGTATGTATGTATGTTTGTATGTAGATAGTTGTCCCTCAGTACTCAGCAAGAATTAATTCTAGGACCCCTCTCAGACACAGAAATCTGTGGATGCTTGAATCCCTTATATAAAATGGCTTAATAAATGCAGATAAAGAATGCAAGTCCCCCTGCATACCTTAAATCATCTGATTTACTCATGATGCCTAATACATTGTAAATAGTTGCTGCACTGGAATGTCTAGGAAATAATGACAAGAAAAAAGCCTGTATGTGTTCAGTAGAGAGATTTTTTTCTCTTGAATATTTTCAATTCATGCTCAGCTGAATTCAAGGATGTAGAACCTCTAGAGACAGAGCTTACTGTTCACACACAGAGTGAGAAAGAGAGAGAGAGAGAGAGAGAGAGAGAGACATATTAGACTATGAATCTACTCCCTCTGAAATAGTTACTCCTGCCTCGTCCAACAATGCAAGTGAAATGGTGAAGTGATATAATGCACAAAATCATTACCTTTGTTTGCTCTTCTACCTCCTTCCAGTTGCTTTGAGAGGAGTAATTGTTCTAGAGGCCTTTGATAAGCAGATAGACTCAAAATCAGTATGCTTATATCTTAATATATGAACATTCTTTCCAATGGTTGCTACCCACCATAATTACTAATATTGTACTGTTGATCCTTTAGCATTTATTATAGCCTTCTGCCTGGTTCTTAGTCTAAAATAACTTTATTATGTGTAAATCAAGCTTCTTTAATGCACGAGGGACAGAGATTCTTAGTCCATCTCCAGTAGTTCATTATAGTAATGTGAAATCAGGCTTCCTAGTGACAGATTTTATTCCAATCAACACTATAGTTCTAAAAGTCCAACTGGTGTTCTCATAGTATATAGAAATTTTGGTGATGGCTGACTTGTAGAATCTAATCCTTCAAATAATTGCTTTAGTGAGCATGCAGAATTGTGCCTCTACTTCTGTTGTTATGACTGCTTTCATTAATTATTCCATATATTTTTCAAATCTAAACTCTTCAATTGGTTTGGAAAGTGACAATGCAGAATTTGGCACTCCAGGTAGAGCTTTCATAATGAGCCATTTCACAAGGAATCCTTAGGAATTGATCAGATCCTTTTGGATCAGGAGTCATATCCATGTGCTCATGGTCATGAGATCGTGGCCAACACAGCAGCCACTTCATACTGAGACCCTCAGAGGATTGTGTGCATGGTACATGGGGGCAGTATTCAGAAGAAGTCAATACCATTCTTAAGTGTCTTGATTGGCCTGTTTGGCTCAAAACCTAACAAATGGCATTTATGTTGTTCAGAAAACACACACACACACACACACACAACACACTGAGAATAATATAAGAAGTAACAAACTTGAAGATAATAGTTGCCAACGTGGACCATACTTTTCTGCAAAGGGAAAAAAGTAACAAGGAGGAAACATGATCGGAGAGTAGAAGACAGAAATTTAAGGAAATGAAAGGAAAGGAGGAGAGATGAAGCAGAGATTAATGGTTACCTTCCATCCTATGTTGGAAATTTTATGTTTTCTCTGGTCTCTTGATGTTCAACTTTCCTTTCAAGAAAAGAGTGAAAGTTCAGGAATCATCTCAGCACTATTTAGTGGACAGCTGCTTTGCCTACCTAAAACAGCCTGAGCACCTCCCTGTACAATACAGAGAAGTTCTCTACATTCTCTGAGACATGAGAGTGTTACAAGTGAACTACAATTGAGAATTTATTTAATTCCTAATTATAGGTGTGGTTCTACATCTCCTTAAAGGAATCTGATGTTTCTGTGGCCTATGATCACACATGGTGCTGGTTAGGATAGGGATTCCCCAATTGTGGAGAGTAGTAAAGAAACATCAGTGTCACTAGGGTAACCTGTTATATCAGACTTCATCATGAACTGCTAAATCAATCTCCAGGAGCAGAGTTAACCAGGTCTTAACAAACCGCCCATGTAGCATCTATGTGGCTGTAGGGAAAATGTTATGATTCTCATCATGCACATGGAGAGACTCTAATGCCAAAAAGTAAAGTTGCTTGGGTAACCTAGGAACAGTCTTAGTCTGGTATCTTTCCTTCCCCAGTTGCCGCTCTACTTTCTAGGCCTCTTCTTGTTTCTTAATAAGTTTCAGAGCTGTCATGCCGTCTCTGCGCTGAATAAAGAACAAGCACAGAACCTGAACAAACAATATGCCTATTAGCACCCTTCCCGTCCATTATGCTTTCCAGGACCAGGGTTAACAAAGGAATCAACATTTAGTTTCTCAATAGAGGAGCCCTTCAAAGCTAATATTACAAATAACAGGGCCCTACTTCAAAGTAATATGTTGGCAATACACTTGATCGATAGGCTCTGGGCAACCTTGCAATACAATTGAGCCTTGAAGAATCTTGTTAAGATTACACACCTTTCTCCCCTAAATGAGATTACATGTTTGAGTATGAATGTATGTGAGCAAGTGGTGTACATGTGAGCACACGTGACTATGCCATCTACCTAGGCCTTCAATTTAATTCGGAAAGTCTACTGTAACATGAAATCTGTGCACAAATGCAGTAATATAATTGAAGCATATTTCATGGGAAATCTTTTTTGTTTGTTAGAAAGTATTTTATTTTGGTGTATTATCTTCCGTGATGACTGCAGAGGATGTAATGGCCTCATGGGCTCAGGGAAAGTAGAGGATTGTGTCCAACACACATGATTCCAAGCCTTGATTTTGACACTGACTAGCTGCATGACTTAAGGTAGATGTTTTGGGCCTTTCTAGACATAGTGTGTACAGTCAGGAACATAACACTTAACGTGAGGTTTAATAGTGAGCATTTTGTGAGATAATAATATGGGTAAACACACCGAACTTGGTGCCAAATATCTAACAACATCATGAAAAATGACACTCCTCCTTTCAGGGGGTAAATAGTGTACTTGCAGAGGCATGATGGGCACATGTGTGCTATCAAGCCACAATAAAAGAGATAAACGGCAATTAACTGAGTGTGAGTGGATAAGGCTAGTTGCATAATAAATGCTTTAAGCGGTGATAGGTGAAAAAACAGAGCAATCAGGAGTTGTAGGAGATATTCAGATCAGGGGAAATTTTGAGATTTGAGTTGCTCCTTAAAGAGAGGAAGGACAGGCAGCAAAATGCAAGGAGGTGAGAACATGCAGGAAGCTCTGGAGATGGTGGAGGCAACTCTGCCTGAGAAACGGGCTCCAGGCCTGGTGACTTTGCAAACAGCCTAAAAGCGCAGGCAGGGCAGGCAGCGCCACAGAGGCCCTTGAATGTCAAGCTGATGCATCAAGTGGACAACTGAAGACTGTCTTTCCAACCCACTTTAATTTGTCCTAAACCCACATGATTCAACAGATCGAGTTGGCCCTTCGCCCGATTCATCATGTTTTCAAAGTTCTCTGGGGCACAGGGAGGCAAAGACGAGGGAGAAGGCTCAGTGGGGCACACCCTCCCGTCACTGATGTGCCTGTACTGCCATGTGCATTCCTCCAACTTTTACCCCGGAGCCTGCCTTGGGGACCCTCCTGGGACAGTGCTGGGTTTATGTGCATTCCTCCAACTTTTACCCCGGAGCCTGCCTTGGGGACCCTCCTGGGACAGTGCTGGGTTGGGGTCCTTTTGCACTTTCCGTTTCCTCTTTTTTTTTCTTTGATCATGCTTTGCCAGTCAGACTGAAAGTCTCCTCCTGCTCGAGGCTTTTTACAGCAGCTTTGATAATAAACTGATTAATGGTTCTCACAGGTCTCTACACCAGCCTGTCCTGCTGTCTCAGCCATTTATTTTGCACCTCAGTTTTTGCATTTTAATTCTTCTCTTTGGTAATTGCTTTGTAAAAATCTTTTCTCGTTTCTTCTTTTCCACCTTTATTGCTTCACTACAAATCTTTGCAATTAATTTTGGATAATGAATGAAAAATAGTTTCACATTACCTTTTCGATCATGCTTAGTATTTTATATCACTTAGGGATGTGACATATAACAATTAAACACATACATACAGTTATCAAGTATTGTCAGTTTTCTGCCTTCATGTTAGTTGCTTCTTGATTTCTCAGTTTTGCTTTTAATTAATCTTTTTGAACTATATTTCTCAGGCCAGGGATTTAGCTCAGTGGATCTGGCACCTGCCTCTCAAGCACAAGGTCCCCAGTTCAATCCCCAGTTTCAAAAAAAAAAAAAAAAGAAAGAAAGAAAAGAAAAGAAAATGAACTGTATTTCCCACTGTGGTTTCACTGGTGGATTTCTTATACTGAAACTATTACTAATTATATTAAGGCAGTACAAAATAATGGCATTGAAATAAACTGTGTTTCATATTTATTAGCCTTTTTTATTGCTTTTTTTTCTGATTCTAAAGTAGTTACTTCTTCGTGGGTTTATTTTTATTCCCTATGTAAATTAATATAATTTCACCCAGTCAATGGAAGACTGAAAAATGAAAAAAAATTTTTTTTTACTTAGTTTTCACCCAAGCTGAGCACAGATTTTTCAGTAAGGTTCTTGTGGGGCAGGCACCAGTTAATTATGACGTCTGGGTATCGACTGGATCACCCGGACAGCAGAGCCTTCCACTCAGGCGGGCGGAAGAGCGACACGCATGTCAGGTGGAGGACAACGTGACCGTGCCTTGAGCATCTCTGCTGTCATCCGTGGCTCCTGAAGGACACTTGGGGTAGGAAATGTGGACTCTTCATAGCTAGCTAAGATTTTGAATTCCAGATGGGGAAAACAGGAGAGGATGACATGTCACACGTGATCCTAAGGTTAAACTGGGCCACAGGCAGTCTGTACCATCTACCTGCACCCTCTCCTGTCCCACTGCACAGATCCAAGCCCCACACTCGCTTCTGAGGTTGGACAGAAAGAATGTAAACAATCAGAGACAACACTTCTTTTTTACGGTACTGGGAACTGAACCCAGGGCCTTTACATTGAGCTCCATCTCCAGTCTTTTCTTATTTTTTACTTTTTTCTTTGAGACAGGGTCTTGCTAGGTCATAAAGTGGCCCAGGATGGGCTTGAAGATACCACCATGCCTGGCAAAAAAACATGTTTCTAACTAGATTCATGGAGTTGGGGGTAAGAAATTTAGCACAAATCCCAACCCAACAACTGATTAGCTGTTTTTTCTCCATTCATGACCTGTACCCCAATTTCCTCAAACATACAACGAGGACAGTAATAGAACCCACCCTGTAAGGTTGTGAAGATTTAAAGATTTGTTGAGTTAATGACTACAAAACACTAAGACTATCTCTGTCCAACAAGAAGTATTATGTAATATTTTCTAATATTACTATGCTTGGTAAGTAAAATTATAAAAATAACCCCGATGAACTCTGCTCTTACACAATCCCCTCCTCTTCTGACCATGGATGGGACTTGGGACTACGACAAGATTTCAGTCTGTGGTGATGTTCTATAACAGGAGGGAAATTACCAGTTGGGTCTGCTCACACTGTGTAGTGTATAGTGTATAGGTCACACCAGCTTATTAAGAGGGAACATTTTCCCACCTCACGGTAGACAGAGTCAGAGATTCCCAGGGAGAGCAGCTTCAGCAGAACCTGCTGCCTTTGGAAAGCCAAGGAATTTCCTCAAGCCAAGGAATGCAAGCAGCTTCTAGCTGCTGAGGACGGACTTCAAGGGACAGGGGAGCTCAGTCCTAAACCCATAAGGAACAGAATTCAGTTAAGAACTCTCCTGAGCTTGGACGCGGATTCCTACCATGAAACACCAGATGGGAGCTCAAGAAGGCAGATACTTTCATTCCATTTTTGAGGCACTTTGACCAGAGAAGCCAGGGAAGTCCTTTGTGTTTCTGACTCACCCAACTGCAGGAAAATCGGTGGGTATTGCTTTATGCTACTAAGTGTATGCTAATTTTTTTGTCAGCAATATAAAGCAAAGGCACACTTAGTGATACTATCCATGGGGTTACCCTTTATTCCTGGGGCCCAAAGGCAGGTCCACCTGCCCTTTCTCCCTAGTCTCACCCAAGGCACCTCCTAAGCTGCATACACTTGGCTCTAACATCTTCCCCATACTATCTGGCTCAAGGCATTATGACACCTATTAAAAGCACCATGAGAAAGCTTACCACCATCTCTTCTATTTATAATCTTCCTCTCACCACAAAATCTCTGCTCTTAACACTGAGCACCACATTTGTTTCCTTAAAGACTCCACCTTTTTTGGTTTTACTCAGAATATTTTCTTTAGGAGTGAGGGAAAGAAAAAGAGGGAAAAGGAGAAGAAGAGAAGAAGGAGGGAGAGAGAAGAGAGAGATGGAGAGACAGAAATGAAGAGAAAACAGGAAGTGGACAGCTAATCATTGATAGTGCCCAAAGATTTGAATGTTGACATCAGTCTGTTTTCCCTTACCTGTTTTTTTCATAATGTCAAACGTCTTTGATCCTGTCATCTTATAGGCACTTCCCTGAGAAGCAAACAAGTGAACAACAATTAAAACCCCAACAGGAACAAAAATATTTAGAAAAAGAAAAGCAGGACTCAAGTAAACTGTCTTTCTGGATTATTAATGCCTCATGGGGAACTTCATGGAAAGAAGATACGGAGAGAAGCTACAAGACCAAGTTCTACTCTTCCTGGTTTTCTCTGCCGAGAGCTCTTTGTGAAGTGGTGGACTCGCTTAGCAAACTGATTGTTAAGTAGAAGTTAAGCAACATGAAAAGGCAGTGATTTTTAGGATATTGAAATAAGAGATCCCAGCCTCATATAGTAAATTGAGGATCAGTAACAAAATGGCTCCTTTCAGATTTCTGGGTGGAAGGGTGCAGTGAATCCCTCTCATCCTTATGCCAGGGCAGCTGCAAGACAGGACACTGGCGGAGTTATAGTCACCAGGGTAACACATGAGACTGTTCAGCACACTCAGGGACATGATAAATAGACGCCTGGGAAAAATAATTTCTGATCCACAGCGGGCACCCTAGGGGAAATTCTGCTTATCCCAAAACACTCTGATTTTGTCCAGGGACATTTTCTTCTATGATAATTTACTTAACCTCTGTTGAAAATTCATCTTTTAAACGTTTCTTGAACCATTGTCTGAGGGGGAAATGCACAGTGTGCTTTACACATTCCTCATGCCCACAGCCGCCTTCCAACATCAGCCCACTGGGAGATTTCTTCAGAATGCCACCCAGCATTTTTCTCCAGAAACATGAAGGAAGGCTGAGCAAACTTCACATTAACAGGTACATGGGGGAAGAATGGGTTTTGATTAAACTTGAAAAGAGAATGCTGAAAATTACAGATCTATATGTAACTGAATTTTAAAAAGAAAGAAGGCAAATTTGCTTCAAGAAGCACAAACACACACACACACACACACACACACATCTCCAAGTCTTTTGGAAGGCCACATCCTTTTCAGAGAACCTGCAGCACAGCATGTGGAAATGGGAGGAGCAGACACACTCAGTGCCCATCCTAACTTGGCCTCCCTCCCGGCCACTTACTTTGCACAATCTGCTAAACAGCTCTCAGACACTTTTCCTTGTTCATAAAATGTGGATAACAATAGTGACTTCACCAGCAAAGCTTTCGTGAATAAGAAACAGTCCAAGGACTGCTTGATGCTAAGTGCTCATGGTAAGTTGCTTTTATTAGCATCATCATTTTATTAAAATGTCCAAATAAAAGGAAACTGTTCTAGAAATGAATTTTTCAATTATTTTGCTTCAGTTGAATTCTCTTTGGTTGCATCCCTTTATATTTTTATTTAAAATAAACAATCTCATATCCCATTTATTAAAAATACTACTACAACCTTGCCATTTGGAAGTAGTAGCTCATTTTACTTTTTTATCTTACTTTATTTTCCAGTTCTGGAGACCCAAGCCCTCATGCTCTGAAAAATCTCGAATCCTGGGCCTCAGTAGTACATTTTTACTGATGGCTTCAGGGGATGGAGCTAGAATGACAGGAGAATCCACAAAACAGTAAACAAAACCAAATAAAAAATGGCACTTTCTTAGGACTCAAAATTTTGCAGATGCCCCTTTCTCCTTGACCCAGGGTCTACCGTCATGCCGGAAGCTGCCTCTTATCTCTCCTTCCTCGTCCTCTTCTGCCAGTGTGCGCCCCCAATTCTCTGTCTAAGGCAAGCAGGGCTACAGTTCCTCACTCACCCCAACATTGCTCACATATGCATATCCCAACACTCTTGAAATTACCTCCTTGAGTGAAGTCTCCATCTGGTTTGGATTTGTACATTTGGAAACTATGAGACCTTGAAGAGGCTGACAGTGTTTGTGAAGTTGATCGCTACGCTTCCCCACCCTGTAGTTGCTAAGTGACTGTTGTCTCCCGCATGCTGCCTCAAAGTTCACACTGGCTAGAGAATTAAGTGTCTTTAATAAGGACCAGCTCCCTTTCGCTGACCTGTTGCACACATCCTGTTTCAAAGTGCTAGATTTGAATGTCCTTTGGATTGAAATCCTGAGAGTGTGCAAAGGAGCAGAGAGGAAGCCTGATCCCAAATGCTAAAAGACAAGGTCGATGAGGGCAGCTGGCCCAGGCCCAGGAGGAGGCTGGGGACAGGAGCAGGACTGTGTAAGAGCTCTCTCTTTGAACAACCAACAAAGAGTCAGCAAAGAGGAAGGGGCCAAATGCACAGTGCAGAGGAAATGGGCCAGAGAGTAGCCTCACCTCTCTTCGATCCTCTCCCAGGACAGCGGCAAACTCCCATTTTACTGCTTTCAATTTTCCAGTCCAGCCACCCAACAATATAAATGCAGATGAAAATGAATTAGGTTCTTCTCCATGCACCCACCCCCAAGTTTGCTGACTCAATTCATCCCCCTTCTCCTTCAGGCCTTCCTGTTTATGTTGTCACTTCATTTTATTATTTATTTTTAGCCCTGATTTCGGAAGCTTTTATTCTGCTGGGCATTGGCATGGTGTCAGCAGCATGGCTCTCAGCTCTGAAAGGATCATTGTGCTGGCCTGGCCTCAGTCCCTGCAGAGACAGAGCGCCAGTATAGCTACCTCACGCTGCCTCTTCACCCGCCTGGCCAGCTCCGACCTGTGGCATTCTTGGCAGGCTGGCCAGTGCAGTGAGGACGGCTATGGGAAATGGAAGTGACTAACGTTGCATCAGATCCAGATCTTCCTCCCGAATGGAGAAACTGAGACTCAAAAGGGGTCATACCAAAGTCATTCATTAAATTGACAGAACCAGATGCTAAACCTTGCATGATTCTCGTGTAATGCTCTTTCTGTACATTAGCCAATAAGCTGTGGAACAAATAATCATTTCTTAAATTTCACCATTGTCTGCTCCATTTTTATTATTTAGATATTTTTCTTGACTCTGAAAGGACTTATGAAAAGACTAGAACCTCTGTAGGAGCTCTTCTCATTGTGCCAACATACTGTTCTGTTTGTTATTGTTTTTCTTTAAGAAATCCATGATTTTATTTTATTTTATTTTATTTTTGCCATAAGCCAGGAGCAGCAAGCTGGTGCCCCTCGCCTCCTCAGACTGGCTGCAGGAGCAATGAAGGGACATGCTTCAGCTCCCAGCACAATGCTGTCTTTGATGGGGAATATACCAAAGCAGAATTACAAGTGTGCAAGAATAAACAAGGCTGGAGTCCATCTAAAGTTGTTTTACACTCTTTTATTAAAGTCAATGCATTTCCGTTCCTATGTGCCCAGCCTAGGCTTGCTTAATTATGCACACCCGGGAAGGATGCTAAGGGAAGCAGAGAACAGTTGGTGATTGGAAATCAAGGCCCTTTTCTGACCTCTACAGGCCATTTGGAGGAAAAAGGAAGCTGATTCTGGAAAATTACAGACCAGGAGGCACTGCAGCAAAGGGCTGAGGGAGACTTTTCCTGGATGCTTCCTTACTACTCTGAGTCAGCTGGACACACATGCTGCAACAGCCACTCCATGTTTAATGGGTCACTGAGGCAATGGGTAAAAGGTCATTTTTAGGAGACGTTGCAGTAGAAATTAAGGTCTTAATTGGTTAACCCATATTTAATGAAGACCCACTACGTCATGGGCGAAGTGCATGAGTGAAGTGCTAGGTTCTCAGGATGTAACAGTGAACAACATCATCTTTGTTCTGCAAAAAACTAGTCTGGTGGGAGGAAAGAAGAACTCACAGGAAATGTCATGCAACAAAAGCTCACACGAGTTCTTTAAGATATGAGATCTTAGAAGCAAACCATGTTCCTGGAGGAGAATGCATATAAGCACATGATGCAGGGATGTGTGTTAAGAAAGGAGACCAGAAACATAACCAGAGGCTAAATCAGGAAGGGTTCAAGTCCAGTGTCTGTTCATATTTATCCCTGAGACAACAGGAAGCCACTTACAGATGTAAGCAGCAGACATGGAAATCCTTTTTCATTCCAAATGCTATTTTGCTGCTCAAAGAGTTAGAAGAAGGCAAAACTGAAGCCTAGAAGGATGAGTGGAAACCACTGCTAAAATCTAGGTGAACAATGCCTCGAGCATTGAATAGATTCAGAGTAAAGCTAAAGGTCAGACTGGAACACATGGGCGGATTCATCCTTCTAGGAAAGAGCGAGGATCTGCTTTGGACCTGGGTTGAGTATCAGGAAACACAGATTCCCATCGACATGGTCCAGTTTAAGGGTCAGGGATTTAGCTCAGGGGTTCCACCACCTGCCTCATAAGCACAAGGTCCTGACTTCAATCCCTGGTACAAAAAAAAAAAAAAAAAAAAAAAAAAAAAAAAAAAGAAGAAGAAGAAGAAGAAAGGAAAAGTATTTGAACTCACTTCAGCAGCACATGTACTAAAATTGGACATGGTCCAGTTTAGGACCTTGGAGGAAGATTTCAGGGAGAGTGGGAGAAGATAATGAAAGCCTGACTTTGAACCTGTTGAGATGTTAAAAACAAGTTGTTTAAATTTGGGTTAAATTTTGGTAACAACCAACAACAATATACTTTACCAGAGACAGGGAGTTGTTCTATGGCCTCAAAGAGGTCCTTAAACGTCTTGGAAGACAGGCATTTTTCCTTGATGTGCTTAGGAAACATATTGTCCACAGTAAAGTCAAGGTTCTATTACTTTCTAATTTTATAGGTTATGGTTCTCTAGAGGAACAGAATAAAGGGACTCTATTAGCAGTCTGCACAGTGGGGAGCCAGAGAATTCAGTAGCTGTTCAATTCAAAAGCTGGAAGCTTTAGAACAAGAGGGATTAAGGACGCAGTTCCTACCTGAGTCTGAAGGCCCGGGGGTGGGGTGGTCCCTGGAGAGTCCTGGTGTTAGTCTCATATAAAATGATCATAACAAGAGGGCTCATCTCAAATGTAGGTCTGGGTTATCAGGGACAAATGTGGCAGTATACACAGTAGTCTAAGGCAGTTACAGATATCCTCTTCAGATTGGAGTGTGGGTGGGGCCTATTGATATTCTCTCCTAGAATATTGTTTATGTAACCTCTGCTTGCTGGACTCTTGGATGGCAGAACTCTTGGTCTTTTGGCTTCTTCACATTTCTGCACAGGTATTACAGAACTGACCTTGAGCTGTGTCTTCTCTTGCCCCCAAAGACCACAGGCACATTCAAATGCTTCAGCTGGATGGCTCCAAAGAATTCTGCTTAAATTTTACAATTTTGTTGGGAGGGTTGGTCATTACACTTGTTTGTTACCAAGAAATCATTTTAACCCCTTAAGGCCTCAAAGACCATGGACGATCATGGACATCCCCCAGTGTAGAAGAGTCGGTTTGCTTCAAGAGTGTTAACAGTCCAGTGCCTTCCTTGGTGTGGCTGCCTGTGGGTCACAAGTCCTAGATGTAGTTCATTCAGTAATTTTCTCACAGAATGCATTCTCTACCAAGGAGTCTGAACCTTTGTATTTTGTGAGCCAAATAAGCCTAGAATATACAAAACACTTGGAGACTTGTTTATGTCACGAGGATGATGAGAGATGAGCCTCTCCTTGTACTCTGAAGGTAGCTATCTGTTTCTGGGTGACAGTATGGCCTAAAATCATCCTCTAGCCCCTCCTGCGTTTATAAACATGCGACTGATCATGCAATTTCTGTCACCCTTTGTTCTCTTGCCTAAAGCCCTATACATACTCTTTCTCTCGAGTGTATGTGTGTGTTATGCGGGGGTGTAGTAGGGAGTTTAAACTCAGTTTCAGCCTCACTGCGCTGATCTGTATGAAGCAGAAATTTTTTAAGTTATATGCAAAAGTATCTTTTTTATTATTAGCCACTGAAAAGATGCACTCCAATCCATTTTTTATTTCAAAAGTCACTTTTACTACTCATGTTTATCTAAACAACACTTTCTTAAAATCAAGAATCATGTAACTAAATTCCAACACAAATGAAAGAGGACCTCTGTTGGGCAGATAGCAGCAGCTCCAGACCAAAACTCTTGCAGTGAGTAGCAGGCGACTGTCTGCATCTTTGGAAGATGGAAGCTTTTGGGAGCTGGGGTGAGAGGTACCAGCAGGGCAAAATCCATCCATCGCTTTAATGCTAACCCAAAGGTTCAGATCTACCACGTGGGTCACTGTGCCGAGTTCCTCACGAGGATGACTCTGTCAGGCATCTCCTAGCAGCCTCTTCTCTCGGCACAGGGCAGAGGCTCCTCTTGGAGCATGAAATCAACTCTGCAGCTGAGTTTTCCAGGCTGACGAATGAAAGCTGCACATGAGACTTTCTCCTGGGGTTCAGGGTTTAATGGGACCTTACTGGTGTTGGCAGCCCTCAGTGTGAGCTCAGGGATCAGGTTCGTCTCAAATGTTGTGACTCTGCATCCTTTTCCTGGAGGCTTAGAAGAACCTGAAGCCAATAGATGGAATTCTTGGATGCTGCTACTCACTGATGGGGCTGCAAGAAGCAAGGTGCTCAGGCAGCCAAATTGGCACAAGGCACACAGAGATGCACAGCCAGCCTGTTCCCACCAAAATGAGTTCATTGTCCAGGGCACCTGGATAAATGCAGCCGCCATCAGAGAAACTTAGAGATGCCACGGTTCCATTGTCACCATCAGTCTAAAAGTCTGCATTATACCAGGGAGGACAAGGCCCCCGGCTCCTTCTCAAAACTGCCTCACTCTGGAAGCAGTCTTCCATGGCAACCACCTGCTCGAGAGGCCCTGTACTTCTGCAACATGCCGTTTCAGTGAAACTATTTTTCTTTCACATAACACAAACTCTGAATGAAGATTGAAAATTGGAGAAATGCAAGGAAATGTATGAGATTTCATTAAGATATTAGATGTCTGGTTTGGAAGCTGGGAGTCAAGCAGGGGAACACGTTTTTGTGAATACCTTCAACATATCAGAAAGCCTGCTTGGTGGGAAGAGGGATGCCAAAATAATAGCAGATTCATGCATTTTAGAGCTCATTACTCAATACTGCCTGGGGTGAGGGTATACAAAGCATATAAGTGAAGTCAGAAATGGTAAGTGCGCTACTCAATGGATGTATAAATAGTACAATGGTGCACAGAAGACAGGTTGTGTAACGTGGCTGTAATACTTATAAAAGGTAAATCTGAACTGGTTTTGATTGCCTCAAATAGGGTCATGGGAGAAGAGAAGCTCAGCAGAGGCAATGGAAACTTGAGAGATGGTTTTAAAAAACAGGGTGGTATAATGACAGCATTGTGCGGCTCAACAAGTTGTGAGTGTGCGGGGGGGGGCAGTAAGACTGTGCTTGTCTGGTGTTCTCCATGTGCTCCCATTTCCCGACCTCTGGCTTGTAGGGGTCTTTTACGATCCAGTAGCTTGTTGGTCTCCAGCAGTAGCAGGGTCCCTATAATCTTTACCTCACTGCAAGTATTCTGTTCTTCAAATGCCGTAACGTCACACCCAGCTGCAGCCTCACAGTAGTCAACAAGCGCTAAACTCCAGGCCATGAACAGGTTGGGACTGTGCTACTGACACAGGCAGGCTGGTATTTCACCTAGTTCTAGACATGCCTCTACTGCAAAGTCTTGTAGCTCTCCCCTACCACATTCAGAATGAAACTCAGCCCCTTCATCGGGGCATATCAAATATGGTTAAATCTGATTGCTATTCTAGGTTTTCTATGTAATATCTTGTTACTTTCCTTGTTTCTAAATATACAAATATATCCTTTCAACTAGTATCACTGAACATTTGAGTCCATGTCCTAACCTCACCCCAGGGCCTCTGTTCGTGCTTTCTCTATGCCTTCTTAGCATGTCTTTCCTCCACGTTTTGCTCGTAATTTCTTCACATCATCTAAATTTTCATCTTCTACTCAACTTTTGCCACCACAATATTAGAGGTTTTCCATATTATCCATTAAAGAGCCCCATAATTCTGTATGACCCTGTCTTAAAATAAAATGTTTACTATTCTTCCTTATCAACTTACAGCAACTTGAGCTCATAGTAAATCTTCTTTCTCTGAATTCTTAGAACTTAGTGAAGTGCAGGCCATATACTGGACAATTAATGTACTTTGTTGTCTAGATAGATCCATAAATGTTCCAAGTCCCTGATTTCTTTTCAGATTATGTTTTTATATTGAAACTTATCTGATTTTGTCCCTTTTTTCTCATAACTGTGCTAGATGATCACAAATTAATCTAATGAATTAATTTTGGCTTAGGTATTAGTTGCTGACAGTGAGTTGGCATTGTTCCCACACTTTTCCACCATTTACATTTTGGCAATATTATTTTCATAACTCCTTAAAGCAACGGATAAACAGGAGCATTATATATTTCTCTATTTAACATTGGCAAAAATGTATATAGGAGAAGTTAAAAGATGCTGTTAGTTTGCAATCTGAATTCAGATTTGTTATTTCCTTCAAACTTCTTATACATTTCATAGAAATCTGAATGTCCTAATATGAAGGATAGGTGTGTGATTTCTGAGTTACAGCAAGAGTAGGAAATGGAAGAGATTGTCAGTAATAATACCAATACCCCAAATCACAACATACATGCTTTTCTCTTATGTCTTATGCTTAAACTGTGGCAAAATTTTGTGCATGCCTTTCTACTGACCAGAGAGGACACTATACATTTTCTCTGGAATTATTTTAATGTTTGAAAAACTCTCTTGGTGGTGGATGGCATATAAGGCAAACTCTCAAGTATGTGATCACCCAATATGCACTATTCTATTTCCACGTTGCTTAGCACTGAAACTTTACATTTCAGCTGGGCCCATCTCAGATAAAGGCCATATTTTCCAACCTCCCCTATATTTTACCTGTGGTCACAGGACCACTTTCTGGTGGGTGGAATCACACACAAATACCATGTGTAGTTTTTTGAAAAGTAGGAAACACATTCATTTTTTTTGGTATTCTTTTTTGCTGCTCTCTGGGATGCAGAGAGAAAAGCTGATGCTTTTGCAGCAATTCTAGGTCAAGAGTAGAAGCAACCCACAGCAGAGCTAGAGGACTAGAAGCTGGGTCTCTGACATCATGCAGCCAAGATACCAGCTCTGGCCTCTGTACGTGTGAGACTTTATATGTAAGAAAACTTATACCTTGCCAAAGCTACTAATATTTTGGATTTTCCATCTCTCATAGCCAAATCTAATCCTGATTAAATACACATGGTTTTGACCAGATCCATATTTGACTTAGAATATACTCCTATCTTTCTTCCCCTTCTAGCTTTCCCTCTGACCTTACCGATCACTTCTCTGAGCTGCTTCCCTCTGTACACAGAAAGACTCTTAAGCCATTCCCTCACCTAGGCTCTTCCCCCATGTAACTTCCTTTCCAGGTCCCTTCCAGAAAGAATATTTCTCAATCATGTGGCCTCAGAGAGCATTTTTTTTTTGTACCTGTGCGAATACTTACATAGACAGCTTTGTGTTGTGAACGGGGAAAAGCCAGCACTATTGCGTAGCATGGGTTGCACTGCACACTTTTACATCTCATTTCATCTTCAGGATAACTTCATGGTACATGTACACTCATTCTTATTGAGTGCATAAAAGCCCTGAAGTTTAGAGAGATTCAATTACTTGCCTAAATTTCATAACAAGCAATGCCAGATCCGGGATACAACCCTCATTTGTCTGTCTGATTCTGAAATGAATGTATTTTCCAGCACTTCATGCTGTCTTCCAGCACGGGTTTAAGGGCCTGAATATGTAGCGTTTTGAAATTCGCAAGGACCAGTGACCATGTCTTATTCCAAAGAATCTAATTCAACTTCTGGCCTCTACCAAATCCATAAAACATATACTATTACAGACCTGCAGGAGGATACTTGCAATTACTTGGCTGCACTGCCTTTTATGTTCAGTCATCCACTACCTTCTGACCTTTCCGGGACCCTCAGAGTTCCAGTGAGGCTTATGTTGGTGCTGGAAAGCTCCAATGCTATGGTTGATGTAACACTCATATACGGAACAACGTACAGTCACACATAGATTTCTGCCTGAGAAGCCAGGAAGAAAGCCCCACTCCACTGCTTCCAGTCAGCTTCAACTTCAAGCACAGGAATGCAGGAGAGCTCAGTGATGTCTGCAGAGGCCCCTCGGTAATCCCGTACCACGGAGTTCCATTCCAATTGCAACAGCAGCATGCATAGGCTCCAAGAGCAGTACAGCAGTGTAGAAAAATATTATAATCAGGAAATAACCGGACTCTACACATAGTGGAAATAGAACAAAACCAGAATCTCACACAGGCAAGCCATTTCACACTGTGTGTGTCTCAGTCCAGTGATTGGAAACGGAGTTTCCATGACTCTCAGGCTACAGGGTGGTGTTTCTTCTCTGCCCTGTCCCTTCCTCTTCTTCTCCCTCATCCTGATTGAAGGCGCACTCTTGGATCTGCCGGTCAAGCTCAGGGATGCTCCCATCCTGGTCTGAGCTGCCATCTGAAGCGTAGTCAACCTCTTCCATGCAGGCTGGCTCATCATCTAGGTCTGAGATGTTGCTTCTGCTGCACCGACCATGGGTTCCCAATGAATGGAGAAAAACAGACAGAGGGGAAGGGAGGGAGGGAAAAGTGCCAAGGGGGAAGGAAAATAGAAAGAGGAAGACGGAGGAAAAAGGAGGAAATTAAAAGAGAAGTCAGTGAAGAGGAAAATATTTGCAGTTACCTGGAACAAGAGGATGGAATTTTTGCCTCCTACATTGCAATCTCAAGACTTGTTGCTTCTTTAAATGAGTTTCATAAGACATTCACTGTAGTCCTCGACTGCTGTCCTGGGTTAAAGAGAAGATCATATAAGATCCATGAGTTCCTTTCTTTCTTTGGCAACAGAATCTGCACTTTTAGGCCAATCAGATTTCCGACATAAGATGTAGATAGCCTCATACATCTAGGTGTCCCACAGTTAGTGAACAAGGTCAGAAGGCTGTCATTGATGCTTGGAAATGTCACACCATCTACTCTCAGAAAGAACAGGAATGCATTTGGGGTACATAAAATTCGAAGTCCTCATGCTTCACATTTTTACAAACAGCACTGTGAAGTATAATGCACAGTTCTCCTGTATCATGATGAGTGATATGCTGGAATTCAAAAACTAATGCGGGTTGAAATTTAAAAATAAGAGAGTGAGGAAACAGCATTCTGTTTCCACCTTATGCATGCCCACTATCCACCTTCCCCCAGCAATTTAGTAACAAATTGAAGGTCAGAGGGGGCTGACCAGGTAGAAATAGAAGGGGTCAATAAGAATAAACCAAAGATTGCTACATGCTACAAGCAGGGGGGATTTTCTCCCAAGGAGCTATATATCTTCCTCATTTGCATAAGATACCTTCTTTCCCTAAGACTTTCTAATCACTCCCTACTTAGGACTTAACCAATTAGGATTAGCAGCATGCTGGGATTCTACTGTGTAATTTATAGAAGGCAAGCACTTCATAAATCAGGGAGAGCTGTTCATCCACCTGCCTCGCCATAAACAATGAAAATGGGTAATCAGCGGCATGGTTACATGTTAGCTCGGGAAATGAATCAGAGGCCAGTTTCTTAATTGTCTACTGACGGATGGGAGCTGTTTCTGTGCTCTCCAGACCCTCTGTATCCAAACCAGGAGGTCTGTTGGGACACTGCCTGAATGGAGAAGGGGAAGAAATATGAACCATGTTTCCACAGGACCACAGCGTTAAATTGATATCATATTTTACAGGCTGAATTGTGGATAGTAAAGCAGTTGGATAAAGGAAGGTAAGAGCTGCCCCAGCCATACATAACACAATTTCAAATTAGCAAGACCTTGAGTGTCTGAGACTCACTTGCCACCACAGTAGGCAAAGACATGATGTTGCCATGCACTGTTGAGAGTCTGGCTATAAATCACAGCTGTGATTTGGAAAACCAACCAACAAACAAACCTTGATCTCACAGAATGGCAATAACAAATACTTCAAGAATTTAGGTGAATACTAAGTGACAAACACACAGCTATTGTCTATGAAATGAAAACAATCAACAAATTTTAATTCCGTGGCTCTGCTCAGATGCTAAAGCTGGTAAAGCATGGTGTAAAAGGAGAGTATGCATTTCAATTTGTTGTTTCACACCTGGGTGTTACCGCAGTGCCTACTAAACCCATCCAAACTGGCATCGCTGATAATCCCGCAAAATGTGATTTGTATCATGTCACTTTCAAATTGAGGAACTGCAAGGACTTTCTACCGCTTCTTAATGCAGTATGAATATTCAGTAGATCCAGAGCCCATTTGGCAGAAGTCTAGAAATACAAACCAATAGTCTTTCCATGAGCAGTTCCTATCTTTCCTCCTCAAGCAGTCTTTCAGTCATTCACAAATGTGGAACTTCTCCCTACAACCAAGTTGATGCTCTTGTTGCAATCATTCAAACATCCCAAATTACTGTTTTCCTGCCTTTACTCATGCAATCAACTTCAAATATAGATAGATATAGATATAGATATATTCTAACCCCTCAACTAAATAAGGCATATCCTTTTTCAAAAGCTCATCTGAATTTCTGCTAAATGACTTTTTTTTTTTTTTGAGACAAGGTCTTGCTGTGTCACTCAGGCTGGCCTCAAACTCCCAGGATCCTTCTGCTTCAGCCTCCTGAATGCTGGGATTATAGGCTTGTACCACCATGACTGATCCAAATGACTATTTTAATAAATACCTCCTTACTAAACACTTTTTCCTCCTAATATTAATCTTCATACACTCACTTGGTTTATTTTGATACTGAATTTGGCAATAGTCAGGTAGTGAATAAATTCCATGGCTTGGCTATATTTATATATACTTTATTCTGTAGAGTGCCTAGGGTATTTTGAGAACACAGAAGACATAAAATGAAAGGTTGCCAAACTAAAAATATAACAGGGGTGTATGTGTTTGTGTGTGTGTGTGTGTGTGTGTGTGTGTGTGTGTGTGTGTATATATATATAGGATCATCTTTGGAGAACTACTTTTTTCTCATTTTCTTTGTCAAAAGCTGATGTTCAGAAGGTTTAGTTTATTTTTCAAAGGTTTTATACAGGAATTATACCTTTATTATGCTAGTATGTGAAATAGGAAGAAAAGGGCTAAAGGTGTAGGGAAAGTGGGAAGGGTAGGGGAAAGGTAATAAGGGAAAAGAAAAAAATAGGAGAAAATGAAAAAATGGAAATAAAGTGTTTGTAAACGGGGAGGGGAGGAGGAGGTGAAGGGAGGGCAGGGACAAGGGGAAAACATGAGAACCAAGACCTGTCATGTAAAGGTACAAGATCCCAATAATGAATGTAATTGTACTGTATACCTAAAATGTACCAGTAAACTCAATAAAAGAACAACAACAACAAAAAAGAAATCCGAAGTGCTCTTTTGCGGGTTACTTATGCTGTCCTGGAAGCACAGTCATTTGGACCTTGGGGAAGAGCCAGCTGTCACGATAGCAGATGGTGAATAAGGTGGATGAAGAGACACCGAGTTGTTTTTATTTGACAGTCATTGCAATGATTCGATCATGTTTTTGACAGAAATTTCTGTAAACATAAACTGCTTCAGAAAATGGCAAGAAGTAGGGGATAAGTGTGTTCCAAGTGAACGGATGTATTTTGAGGGGGATTAATGGCGATGTGTCTTTTACTATCATTTTTTAAATTAAGCACTCAGTGTTTTCTTTGATCACAACTTGCAACTCAGACTTCTATGCTAAAAACAACAAAACAGTTGATCATGGAAAACTTACATAAAAGGAAAAACATATAGAACCAGGAAGACTCAACACAGTAAAGATGACCACTGTTGTAAAACTGACACTTATGTTTAACACGATTCCTAACACAATTTCCAAATAAGTTTTATTTATTCAGATAGAATTATTCTAATTTGAAATTTATGTGAAAAGGAAGTGGATCTAGGAGTAGCTAAATCAATTGTGAAAATAAGACTAAAGTGGGAGAGATTCTTATCCTCAATGTTAAGACTTACATGGTGATAGAAACCAAGATAGTATGGTGTTGGCAAAGTGACAGACATATGCATTGGTACAGGCAGAAAGCACAGAAACAGATGGACACAAATAGGGCCAACCGATTTTTGACAAAATTGCAAAAGAAATTCAATGGGGAAAAGACTGCCTTCCACAAAGGTGTTGGAACATTTGTATATGAAGGAAAGACGAGGAGGAGGAGGGTGAAAAACAAAACTGAGATGTGTCATGTACCTGTACCAACTCCCTATAAGGAATGTAAACATTATATACTGCAAACATGCACTAATAAAAATAAGTTTAAAAGAAAGGAAGTTAACCTTTACCACAATCTCACTCTTTATACAAAGTTATATCTAAATGAATTGTAAGTGCAAATATAAAACATAAAAATATAAAACTTTTAGGAAAACATCATTGAGGTTCAGGGCTAGAACATGACATCATAAACATGATTCATAAGAGAAAAAATGATATACGGGATTTTACCCAAAATAAACTTTTGCAAGACTTCATTAAGAATATGAAAAGTAAGTTACTAACTGAAAAAATATTTTCAAAACACTTATCTTAAAGGACTGCTGGAATTTGTAAACAACTCTCAAGAAAAACAACTAGAGAAATACCTATTTAGAAAATATGAAAATTTCATGAAGAAACATTTCCATGAAAAAGATATACAGGTGTCAATTAAGAACATAAAAAGATGTCTGTCCATGCTAGCCACTAGAGAAATTTAAATTAATACTAAAAAGTATCAGTACACTCCTATGAAAAGAGATTAAAAAAACCAATCATAATGCCAAATGCTGGGGGGCTTGTGGAAGAATTGTATTTCTAATACATTATTGATGAGAATTTATAGTTTTTCTGGAAAATAGCATGTAATTTTTTAAAAAATGAATATACACTTTCCATAAGTCCAGCAATGACCGTTTTGCTATTTATACCAGAGAAATGAATAGTTATGTCCATGCTAAAACTTGTACATGATTGTTCTTTGCAGATTTAGCTGTAACAAATCCTAAATCAATCAAAATGTTCTAAAATTGGTGAAGAGTTAAACACACTGAGTTGGATGCATTTTATGCTACTCGACCATAAAGCAGAATGAACTACTCATGAATAATGAATAAATCCTGGAACCTGGACGAATCTTGAGGGCATAATGCTCAAAGGAGAGAAGGCCGATTTCAAAGGATCTTATGCTGTATGCCTCCATTTAAAGAATTCTCAGGACGACACAATTACAGAGCTAGAGAACCAATTAATTGTCAATAAGGCTTGAGAACAAGGTGAAAGACCTCTGTGGTGACAGAACAGCTTTGTGTCTGGATTTCAGTGATGCTTACATGAGTCTGAACCGTGAGGTGAGCATGGAAGAATACACATACTCTGTGCCAAAGTCGGTTTCCCAGGTCCATACTGCACTGAGTTACATAAGATGTTGCCAGTGGGGAAACTGCCTGAAGGATCCTCAGGACACTGAGGCATCTTTGCATCTTTCTCAGGGTCTATAATTA